ACTACCAGAAGGTGCAGAGCAGAACTGACTTTTTTCTGTAACCCAATGTTTGATGAATACCGGTCCTTCACAAATATTTATTAAATAATTAAATAAATCAAAAGACATGAAGATAAGTTAAAGAAGACAGTGTGAAGGATCAAGAGAATTAATTTAAAAAAACAAAAAGCAAGAGAATACAGAAAGATAAAAAATGAATTAAGTACGAGAAATATCAGAATAAGAGAAGAATAAATAGAGAGGAGGCAAAAAATATATGTGGTGGAAGGAAAAAAAGAAGAGCTGGGTACACTCAAATATATAGGTTCACTTCTGATTTTTGTAAAGAACAAAACAGAGGTGCTGAAAGTTCTAGAAGTAGAAAAGATGCAGAACTGCCTGCATTAACCCAGTACACTGTAGATGCTGGGGTGGTGTAGAACCCTGATGTGTGGGACGGAAGCTCTGGCATCATCCAGTAGCTTATTAGAAATACAGCATATTGGACCCCACCCCATCTTAGTGAATATGAATATGCATTTTTAGCAAGATCCCCAGATGATTCCTTTATATAATGAAGTGTAAGAAGCACTGGTGTACACATCTGAAGTCCGTAGACAAACTCCACCTTTATTCCAATCCATGTTCTATTACACAAAGCACTGGCACTAAGGAGCCACACGATCTCAGGCAATCTTCTCCTTGCCCTGGCTCTCAGTTTCTTGTCTATTAAGTGAGAAGGTCAGAGTAGACACCTTCTGAAGGATCCCAGAGCTTGATACTCTGGATTGCATCTAACAGCATAGTTTCAACCTTCCCTATACTCACCAGACAGACCAAACGTCATTGATGATGAACAGTACACTTCCTTTCTCTGTTCATTCACTTCATATTTTCTAAGTATCCATTATGTGCCAGTCACTGTGTTAAGTCCAGATGATCCCGAGATGAATAAAACATCTCTCCCTGCCTTTGAAGAGCTCACAAACTTTTCAGGGAAACAGTGCACACTAATAAAATTAGCGCATTAAGAAATATGAACACACGCTAGAAGGACATAGAAGGCAGAGCAATCTCCCTGGTTGGGCCAGTCATGGAGAATACCCACAGGGTCCTTTCTCTGCCAACATCAGCTGACAGTACTAGAAAGTGAAATGGTAAAAGTAAGATGGTGGGAGAACATCAGGAAAACAACCGGAGGTCCAGAATGCACCTCCCTGGTTCACAAACCTCCGCAAGTTCATCCACCCAATGAATTCTGTGCCATAGTCACAGAGGTACAATTAGCAGCCACAGGTGGCCCTGGGAAACCCACTCCTCTGAGTTTTGTGCTCCCTCTACTGACTACATTCTGTTCTTCCACCTTCCGCCTCCTTCTGGAAGACAGTATCAATTCAACCACTCTCCCTGGAGACTTCTTCTTGTGGTTGAAAGAGGAGATGCACTTTAATAAATGTGAACAATTCATTAGAGCAGCAACTCATTTGATCTATATTCATTTCCAGAGAAAGATTATACTAGTACCCAATCATGGGCACAGTAGCCAAAACTGAAAATATAGTTTATGGGGGAAAAAAGAATTATTAAAGGGGCTATAGAAGACACTGAGGAAAAGGACAAGCTTAAATTTTCTATCTTATCCACTCTTAACCCCATCAAGATGAGATGCTCTGTCACTAGAGAGGAGTGGCTCTATCAGCCCTATCTTCCTTACTGAGAAGAGAAGGCAATCCCTCAGATCAGCCATTTTCTACCCTATGTAATGGTGAAGACCAGCCTGGCTTCCTTTTCTCCCTGGCTTCTAGATACCAGTTCTTGGCTATAGCTTCTTCGCATATAACTTGTCCTATTTCCTGCCTTCTGCATTTCAGTGTCTATAAATATTAACTTGGAACCACCCTGTTAATACTAGTGGATATATCACTTTTATTTAACTCTTGAATAAGAAAAAGGGGGGGTTGGGCCCCCTGGGTTCATCATAGGCATGGGGGAACAGGAAGAATGCTTTCCACAGGAATGATGCACCCACAGGCTGCATCTGTTCAACCCAGTTTCTCCCTTTCAGACACCTCTTACTCCACCAACCAATTTCAATCCCTGGTCTTCCTTCCAGGTGGCCCCTACCAGTCCCTTCTGGCACAAAGCGAGGTGCAGATAGGTGAATGTCAATAAATGCAGGGAATATTCTGAAGCCATCTTTGGGAAGATAAAGCAGAAATGCAAAACCAAAGTCGCTGTTGTTCATCCCTTCTCCAAAAGAGCTCATCCTTTTCAGTCAACCTAAGAAAAAGGGTATCTGGTGTGCAAAGTGGTGACTAGACGAATTTTTCGCTTTCCCCTCTTTTCCTGTCATTTTCATTCTTTTGTTATTTTGTCCACCTGAAACCACATTTGACAAAAATCTCACATATACCACAGCAGACAGGTTTCCTAAAGCTAAATCAATGGGAGAGAGAAATTAGACAATTTATTAGTGCACCCTGCACCCCTCCTGCAGATGAGCATATGTGTCTGCACTGCCACATCATTCTGTGTGTGCAGAGCCACCACACCTGAAACACAGAGACAGGAAGTGACCACATGGTTCTGCTTCCCTTGAAAATTACCCTTTCAGCATCTTTCACCCTATTTTCCCAGTAAGTCTTCATTCCCTATTAATTTTTTAATTGCACACCTCCAAGGCTCCTTGACTAAAATCAGATTTGCTCCTTCCCTACCAGCAGCCACATTACTTTCTCATGCATCCCACACTGTAAGGCGGTAGATGGAGGAAAGAAGACATCATAGAACCTTGTCAGCTCTTTGTGCTGTGAGAGAAAAAAGGAGAGAGAACAATGGTCCAGAGATGACCCAGAATGCCACCGAGTCACCATTTGTGGACACTAGTGACATGGATTGGGAAAACTTGCCTCCTCGTCAGGGGCTACAAAATGGCTTTGGATGTCAAAAAGGTACTGACCACCTGTGGCAATTCCTCCTCAAATCTCAAAGAGTCGGGTCAAGTTGGATCACCTTTCTTTACAGCGATCTCACTCCTGGACCTCTTTCACCAGTATCCTCTGCTTTTGACAGCTCCTCCTTCGCTTAGTCTCTGGGCCGACTAATGATAGCTCAGAACATGGCCTAATCCCATTGACATTCAGGACAAATGAGATGAATGAGACCTGTCAGAAGACCTCCTTGTTGACCTCAGCACCAACAAACCTTTTGAAGGACCTCCCTGGTGCAAAGCACTGTCACAGGCACCAGGCACATGAAAGGGGCCATGTGCCCTGTGGATACTTATCTGTCTTTGTCCGTCTGCATACATGAAATCATTGCACAAGGAGCTGCCTCTCCCACCCATTCCTCTGTTCTATTTTGAAGTAAAATTAAGAGTTCATCCTCCCACTTGAAGAAGTAGAAGCAGATGGTGAGCCAGCTCAGGTGTCTCTAAGGTGAGCACACACCAGATAACCTCAGCTATTTGTGGACATGGTGATAACATGGTTCAAATCAGGATCCTCCACTCTCTTGCTCTGATCACACCATGATTACAGATTAATGTTTCAGCAATAAAAGCTCAGAAGAATGAAACCCTAGGGAGGGGACCTTGCATTTGGATGACATGCATGCATTCTGGACAGTGAGGAGCTATTATCTACTGTCACGTTGGGTGACAAGGATCTTAAAACACTTGCCTCACACCCTTTAGTATTTTGAGACTGTTTCCAAAAATTTTAATTTTTAAATGCCAGTGAGGAAAAAAACATTCTTTGGGGAAAGGGGATACTTTTAGGATAATTACTGATGCTAATGACTTCACTATATATTTTGAATACCTTTACCCCTACATTACCCTGAATCTTAGTGCCTTCAGAGTTTGGGGATTTATGGTCAGTTGAGCAAGAAGATGAGTTATCATGGCCCTCCAGTCTGTAGACATCTGAATTTTCTCAAGAGTTGCCTCAGATTGCCTGAGTGACTAGCAGAGGAGTCATTTGGAAGTCTTTTCTGTTTCTGCAGCTATTTTTCTTTGTAAGTACATTAAAATGTGTGCTTAACCACACTTCACATAGTGTAAAAACTACTGAGAGGGGGGAAATTAAAGCATTAATTCTGGGTTTGAGGGTACAAGATTCACACATGCAAACAGCACATCTCTTTGTTTAACACAAAGACTCACGTGTCAGATTCTGCACCCCTTCCACATGCACAGCATTTTAGAACTCTGCAAGATAGCCATTTTGCAAGAGTGTGGAAGTAACAGTTTGCTTGGAGGATGTGTGGGTATAAATAGATGTGTAGACAGAAGGAGAAATTTACAGCTTAAAAATAATAGCATACAGGAAAAAAAAATACAAATTAAAAGCAGAATACTGGCAGAATTCCTTCCTTCCGAGCTTACGGTGTAAGTCCTCCTAACCTGCAGCCTCCTCTGATTCCAGGTGTTCTCAGAGAAGCCCCATTCCCTATATGTACTGCCCCTCTGCATTAGGCCTCCCGAGATCTCCGGGCCCAGTATCAACCCTTTAGACAGCAAGTAGATTTCAGGGTAACAGTCACAGTAATCTTGATCATTATTTTTATTTTTTTAAAGGACATATGGATGCCTAGAGAGGTAGAGACAGAAAGCAGAGAGACAGGCACGAAGATAGCAAGAGGGAAAATCAAGGTTGGAAAAAAATAATTCTAGATCCCATAAAAATCATAGCTTCAGTGAATAAAATGCTATTTAAGTAGAAAATCACACAGGTCTCCCTGTCTGTGTCTAGCCACCCTTTGCGCCCCCCAACATCTTCCGTGCCTGCATACATCCACCCTCATGCTCTCCCCCAAACCCCAAAACCTGTTTGGTGAGAGAAGGGAAAGAAATAACATGGGAGGTTTCCCTCATTGTGGTAAGCCTTTTTCCCCAGACAGCATTATTTTGATATCTTGTTATCTTTTCTCCCCCAAAAGATCCACTTGAGGCACTGGAAGAGACAAAACAAGAAATCCCTACCCCAGCTGAGGAAAAAAGAACATCGAATTTGCCCTACCTTGGTTTGTAGAAGCCAAACCTCTAGACCGACAGATTAGGGGAGTGAGCATGTTGGGAATGTCCAGTCTCCTCTTCTCGCTTGCATATCCACATAAGAAAGACGAAGGGTCACAAACGGAAGATAATTTAAAATCCAATTTACCGCAAATTTTGTTTTAATCTTGTGTCTTGAAGAGATGCAAATTCGAATCAAAAGGATCTAATTCAAAGGTAATTCAGGGTATGGAGAGCAGCTCACAATGCAGGATCCAGAGTAATTGTTCCGTGTGCATGTGAGGTTAGTGGCTGTTACTGTATATATTATAAGGATTCTTCAGGCAATTATGGTTTTTGATTTTTGGAGCTTTAGAGGAGGAGGCTCTGTGTAGAGAAGCTGGGGGCCGGTTCCGTCCCTCCGTGGAGCATGGTCATTCCCAAAGCGTCCCCTTCCTAAGGGGAAAAAAAGAGGCGGTCAGGGTTTGGTACCAGTGTCCCCCGGAGGGTGAGAAAAATGCATTCCGAAAAAGATAGCAATTCGTTATATGGGGAAGGGGGAGGAAACCCCGCATTTCCCACAGAGTGCACGAGAGGAATTGCAAACAGCTGGCACCAGTCTATAAATAATTCAGAAAAGGTCTGGCTATACCATTCCTGGGACAGGCATGGCTGAGAGGTGGGAAAACCAACGTGAAAGGAAGAGGAGAAAGGGAGGAAGCGAGCAAAAGAGGCAAGTGGAAAGGATGGAGGGAGGGAGGGAGGGTGGGAAAAGAGACACCACACAGCGACACACACACACACACACACACACACACACGCAGAAACACAATCCCCACTTAACTCGCCAGCAAGTGCGGCCCCCAGCCCCATCTGCATTGCTGCTGACATGTCTGTCTCGCTCTGCCCAGCGCCTCCAGCAGCGGCGCCTCCTCCCACCTTGGGCTCGTGTTGAATGGGTTCCAATTGTGCACGGGGTGCACACTGGGCATTTCTTGGAAGGGGCACACTGACACGCGCGCGCACACACACGCCCCCGACGCGCACGCGCCCCCGCGCGCACTCACACTCACCCCCGCGCACACTCACCCCCGCGCACACTCACGCCGCCGCCGCGCTGATGTGCAGCGCACGGGGCTTCACCTGCAACGTGTCGATTGGACGGATGGTCGCCGCGCGTGGCTCCGGCCCCAGGCACCGCTGCCCAGCCTCTCCGGAGGTGAGGGATCAGCCCCCTCCGAGAGACCAAAGCCAGCCCTGCCCCCGCCCCCCAGAGCCTTAGGAACAAAAAGCCACATCCAAATTAGCAAGTGCCGCTTTCTGCTGGCTTTAGAGCTTTACCTAATACCAGGTTGGTTAACGGTACAGCCCCAAGCCCCCAAATCAAGAGGAGAGACTCCACGGCAAGGATTTACGCACCGGCTCTGAGCGCCTCGGCGAGTGCAGAGTCTCCGGAGAGCGTGGCCGGAGGTGGGGTGGATTGAGGGTCTTCTTTTCTGCAAAGCAGGATTAATGATCCATCTTGGGGGTTTTGAAGTTCATGACTCTTCTTGGCAAAGCAAAAGGAAAATGCATTCGGACGCCAGCACTTCTGGGTTGCGGGGATGGAGAATCACCCAGAAGAGCGCTTTCGGTAGAGTGGAGCGGATTTCCTAGAGGTGAAGAAGCCGAAGGAAGTGGTTTTTGCACGGGGGTTGGGGGGAGCCTTCCTTTCTCAAAAAAGGGGGGGTTGTGGAGAGGCAAGAGCCCAGATTCCAGTTGGTGTTGCTCGAAGCCGGGGGAGGGGAAGCGGGCGGGGGCAACGGGAGAGGAAGAGGAGGGGAGGAGGGGAGAGTAAGAAAAATGGGTATTAATCACCGGCAACGGGGGAGGGCGGGGACGGCACAGGTTGCCTGGTCTGCATTTGGGTCTCACACCCAGAAACGTGTCACACACACACACACACACACACACACACACACACGCCCCTACCTCTCGCGCACGGGTTGTGGTGGGTGGAGAAACCAGCGAAGCCAGGGAAGATGCTTCTACTCCCAGAGTGCGCGCGCGTGCCCTCTTTCTTCACACCCCCACCCCTTCCCACCCCCAAACCCCTGCACCCCTGACTCTTATTGCTAAGACTCTGGAGGAGGCAGCTTCCCACGTCATGTGCCCGGGAAGTGGGGTAGAAAGGGGCAAAAGGCTTAAACCGTGTCCGTGGCGCCTCCTCCTGGCCGCCAAGGGAAACAGCAGGGAGGGAGGGCTCCTGGGGTGAGGGAGCTAGACCGCCCGGTGGGCGGCCGCGCTTGGCTACGGACAGCATCTCCGAGGCGAAGCTGCAGTTTGAATTTGAAGACCTTTGCTTTATCTTCTATAAGTCAATCTGCTTCGTCCCTGCAGTCTATGTGCTAGGCGCAGATGAAGGATGCGTTCTTGCCTTCAAGAAGCTTAAGATCTATTTTTGAGCATACCAGGCTACTAATAATACAATGGAAAGAAGGCAAGGTAAAGGCAATTAAAGGCTAAATTTTGCAGTCTAGCCTATGCATGTTTTTCCGACTAGTGGGGATGCTGTAAGGAGTTCGGATATTTTAAAAAGTGGACCTTGTTATTTAAAGACCTTGACAAGATGATCAAACAAGGTAACATCCCCCAAAGGAAACTAGATTCCACAGCATTCACAAACCCACCCTCTAAAGGGCAAACATCCATGCACTTCTTTCCCTCATTTACTGTTTTATATTTTAATTCCACTAATCATCACCTGTAATGGTATTTATTTTTAATACTAGTATTGTCATATGTGCACCATTTTTATTCTCACCCATATTTTTCTTAAAGACCCAGAAGATGAAAGTAGTAGAACATTTTCATATGGGCTTCATCATGGGCTTCTCACCAACAGTCTGGAGAAGCACCTACATGAACACACAGGAAACAATGCTGTTAAAGTGGTCCCACCTACTAGCTTGGCGCTTTGTTCTCTGCAAAGAACCTCAGGTGTTGTGCCGTCCTGTAGAGCAGATAACATTCATAGTACATGACTGTTATTGGTTATTGTTGGGCTTATTCTTGGGATCCAAGATTTTTAAGATGCACACAAACACATGTCATTACAAAAGCAATGCTTCCACAAGCAAATTATTCTTCGGTAGTAGTATCATTGTTTTCCTAAGACACACCAGAGCTGATCTTCTACCCCTTTGGAGAACTGCGTAACTACCCACCATGGATTGTGCCTCCCTGTACACAGCAGCCAGCTCGCACCCTTCGGTGTGCAGATTACCAGTGCAATCATCAGAACACAGACTCCAGGAGAACGGTTACCAGTGCAGGCAGCAGAGGCACAGGGGCCTACCCTGAAGCCCTCTTCTCTGGATCTTCCCGAAATGGCCTTTACCTTCAAAATAAGATCCAAACTCACCGAAGCACCCTCATGGGCTGAACTTTACCGTACATTTCTGAATTGTATTTTATTTTTTCATATAGCCCACCTATCACCAATCCTATTCACTGAAATTATGTAGTATTCTTTTTGGTTTTCTGTTCTTTTCCTCTTTGTTCACTTTTTCCAGTATAGGGACAAGAATGAACTCTCACAGTGCCAGTACCTAACCAAGGCCCACCTCCTCTTGGTAAAGCTTTTAGTCAATCAAGACTGAACTGATTTCTTGAACAATTTCAAGGATTTTGAAATCACTAACATACTCTCTAATCTTCATTTGCTGCATAAAGGATAGTTTATTTGATCAGTTATCACAATATCCAGTCTATGTTTTTTTGTATGTGTCCTCCAGATAGCAAACATATTAAACATACCTAACTGGACAACTGGCCTTCCATTATGAAGAACTTATCTGGAAAAAGAAAAAGTAGTACTTCCTTAGCTAGTCATGTTAACCCTTATGGAACAACATGTTCATTCACTTCAGATTACCAATGACATGAAATAACCATTTTTGACCTACAATAAGAAGGCAATTATCATATAATTCACCTTAAAATTTGTATTCTTACATACATATGTCCTGTCTTCTCAAATCATTGCTTATCTTCATACTAGAACAGTTCAATAAATATTATTGTTTTTCTGATTGCTGTTTGAAGCCACTTCCCCAAGTGGTTTTTCTGACTGGGATAGCTAATTCTAGGAACTATGTAGCTTGTGACATGGAAAGTACTATTTTTCCTTCTTCATTGTGTTTATTGCCTTTGGCCTATTCAGGAAGACCAAAACCTCTCTTCTTAGGTCTCTGACTCCTGTCACTCACTCTGCCCTTTTAACAAACCACCTTTGCATCCATGAGTTACAAACCTTTCAATAAAACTATTTCAAGGGCCATCCAGATTTACCATATGTGAAACACCTTCCTTGATGTTACAAATAGTCCATTTCCTAACCCCTGGTCAGGCAGCACGGAAAGCAATGCTCTAACAAGACAAGATGTTGGATTATAGTTCACAGCATTGTTTATTGAGGAAAAGCTCTTGCCCGAGGCTGCTAATGACACAGTTGGAGGTATGCTGCCAGCTCACTTGATCCAAAGAGAGGATCCCAGGAGAGGCAAACATTTCTCCTTTGCCCAATAGGCAAAGTTAAAATCCATGCCTGGGCCAGAAAAAATAAAAAAGTGTTATCTGACAACTTCTTTCAGATCAAACACAGAGCAGAGTATAGTGCTTGTATAATTTGGGGCACATCTTTAAGAAAGCAATTTTTAGGGGTCAGTGAGATAGCTCAGCAGTCTAAAGCTCTGTTTAGACAAGCTTAGGCAGGCACAAGGGACCACAGTTTGATCCCCAGCACCACATGCACACTAGTCCCTCCCTCAGGGTGGGCTGAACAGGCCAAAAAAACAAGAAAGCAGATTTTAAAACAGGTATGAAAGTAAACACTTAAATGGGAAAATAAATTGCAACATTTAAAAAATTGTTTAATACTCATAAATGCAAAAATTTAACAATTTTACTATTTCACTGCTTAACATTTCTGTAACATTTGTTTTGTATATTTTTAAACTACACATCTTTGAGCATCTCTTCATATATTGATTTAAAGTATCAATTTCTGTGATAGTAATAAAAATAATTAAAGAAATCCAGTCTGTAATTCAACAGGGCTATTTAAAATGGTTTTAGTAGCAAAGAAAATTCAGAATAATGTCTCAGCTATTGGTAGAATATTGATAATAATACAATGTAAATTTTTTTGGATTGTTGTCAAATTTAGGGAA